ATCTCTTGTTGTGACTCTAGTTATAAAATCACCTTTACATGTCAAAATAAGTGCAAATATGAAATATGAGTCTGATTTTGAGTCATTTGTCCACCAACTGTTTTTTGCATATTGTTTGTGTACTCTGAATTATAAATGACCAACAAATGAGGGGTTTGCATCATCATTTAGATGCACACATACAGTTAATTGCACATCATTATCTACATTAACATGTTTGTCATGTTGAGCATGTGTAAGTTTATGATCACATTTCCAGTTTCCATTTTCATACTTGTATCACTTGGGATTTTATCTTTCTGCCCCGATGATTCTTGTCCTTTCAGCTGACAACATAATCAAGCTCAGCTCCTCCAAATCCGGTTTTGAAATCCAGTTGCGTATCCACTTTTCACTGATTCAACTTGAGTGCTCGGTGCTGTTGTTCCCTTTAGGTCCTCTGAGGGTTTTCCCTCTCGTCTATTCTTCCGGCTATAGTCAGTGGGATGCATCCTAATTTCACATTGTCTTGAATGCACCATCAGTATGAAAACAAGGGCATCACCCACAGAGCGGAGCTCTTTTAAAGTAGTATAGCTGCTTTGCTAGACCTGTGCCGTTGTGTGCAGCCATGCTCAACGAGCCAAAATAAACTAACAGTGTGTCCTCGGGCACCCCATGAGACAATCACTGACCTGGCTAATGTGGGTGGCTGCCCTCTGTGCACACACAAACACAAATGTAGTTATAGAAGACTCATACATACCATGGATAGATCTGACTACATCTCACATAATCTAGTATGATTTAATGATCTAGTGTCTCTTTCCTGTCTTCCTGTTCTCCCTTACCCTCTGCACTCTCTATACCGCAAACACTCATGATCTCTCCTCGGCGCCCTGGTCCATTGTTTGACTTGTTCCGATTTTAGTCTTTAGTTAGTTTGCCAGCTCAAGCATGAACCCCATCCTTGGCTCTGAGCCTCAAGCCACTGCACTGGAACAAGGAAAGATGTTTTATGTAAACAGTAATATAATGTCCTACTTGCCTGTTGAGTGTAACAAGTCCCTAAGAAGTTCACCAGCCTTGGAGGAAAATAGTTTTTTGCTCATGGTTATTGTTTCTAAACTCCGTCATATGCACCTTGGTCTCCGTTTAATGCACAAGCCACAGTGTGTCTGTACAGATCTAAGTCGTTTACATTTCACTTTCAAACTGGATCACTTTCCCACTGGGAGAAATCAGCTGTCACAGCATTGTTGACTGATTTGTTGAATTCTAAAAATGAGTCCTTGATGTCCTTGTCAAGGAGGACATGAAGACTCAATATCTTGTTGTTGAATGTTAATTTAATATGTATATTAGTAATCAACAGTGATGTGCTACACACAGTTAGAAATTAGATCACTTGTGTATTTGTCTTTACAAGAAAATAACTCGATATGCTCATATTGCTATTTGAAAATCAATATGTTTTGCAGTCATTGGCAAACACATAAGTAGCGTTATTTTCCTGTGAGGAAATGGAACATGTTTTTTATGTTATTTTAGCATAATTGCTTTATAATCAACAGTGGGAAGGATATGTGGATCATCATCATCACCATCATTTGGATGGTGACATTTTTCTTTGTCATTGATAACATGTGATGATGTTGTTGTGTTTGCCCTCATTCCAAATAACTTATCACTCATGCAGCCCTCAAAACCTGGAGCTCATCCAGGACAGCTGGGACTGAGTGACACACACACACACACACACACACACACACGCACTCTCTATGGAAAGAGAGACAATTGATGTTTGAGGATGCGAGAAATACTTGTTTAGCTGGTTCCTCAAATGAAGACTGCAGATTCACACGTCCCCAGGGTCTCATTATTATCTGCATCCCACGAGAGTCCTCGATTAATTGATTGATCACTTCTTTCACTCCTTCTGTGGTCTGTTGCCTCTGTTCCAGTGAGACCAGGGTGATATTTATATTATATTCTGTTTTTAGGTTTATTTTGTAACATCTGCCTCTTGGGACTACGGATGAAAAATAGCCTTTTGGCTAACTCTGACGCATTTACAGAAATGTTTTTATTAATGTGCACTGTCCCTTATCAAATAAACCAATAAATAAAAATACCTGAACATATATACAGCTTAGCTGGTGGACCCACTAAACTGGCAACTGAGTGTAATTTTATTATTTGGGGGTCTTATTCTTCAGTACACGCAAACAACATGAATCTAACTTGTGTACTTCTAAATGTTGACCAAGAGAGACATTTGCTTTAAACCTCCTTTTTTCAATTCATGGTCTCAGAAATCAGGCAGTATATCTTGCAGTTTTTAATGAATAGTTGATTTTTTTCCTGAACCTTAAGCTGATGTTTTTAAATATTTTAAAGGCTAATTAAGTGGATTAGCACTTTCATGCACTAGTCAACTAATGGTATTCGATAAAGAATGGACTGAGAGAGGTTCACCATGACCTTAACTAACCTCTTACCTCTGCCCCTCAGCTGTGCCTGTAATGAAGACTCAATGTTGCTCCATTACCAATTTTCTCCAATGGCAAACACTCTGCTTTAAGTTAGATGGATGTGAATCAGCGCTGCACTGTGTGTGTCTGTTTAGCTTAATAAATTCAAGCTGAATAATGAACAATAATGGAAATGGAAATTCCCTAAAGGAAACTGGATTTGTTCAACATGACAGGTACAAATATCTCTACTGGGAGCATATTTATCTTCATAAAGAGCTTTCAAATAGTCTCCACACACACACCTTCAGATACCAAGTGGCAAATATTATCCATCACACTTAAAGACAGTGATAATTACAATACACACACACAAACACACAAATAAGAGGGCACTAAAGCCTCTTCACTCTTACACACTGAACACACTCATGTTTTCATTTTGGGGACATTACATTGACTTACATTCATTTCCTGGAGACTTAACTTTACCCTAACCATTTCTCTAAACCTTAACCTAACCTTAAACCACGACAATAACAATATCACCGTGTAAACAGATTTATGTCCTCACAAGTCATGCAAAAACACACACACACTGAGGCAGCTACAAGCAGCTTCTTGGCCTTGTGTTACAATCTTTGCCATTAGCTGCAGAGCGAAAAAAAGACCAGCATCCCTTTATCCTCTCATTTATTCCAGACCTGCGGGTCTCTGGAGTCCCGGGAGAAGAGTATAAAGAAGACTTTAATTCAGAGAGCTGCCAGCCATCGTCCCTGTGAATGTTTGGATCTATTTGTTTTTGGACTGAACGGGATTAAGGTTGAAGTAGTTTTTATTGTGCTCTGCGTGAGTTTGAAGGCTGAGAAATGGAGCCAACAGATCTGAGGAGTGACAGAGGAAAGAGAAACAGCAGAGAGGTAAATTTCAGGGGGAAGAAAAGTACTTAAGCTCATCATTATCATCACCTCCTATGAAAATACATGGAACACTTTTCATCACTATGCTGTAACTTTATATGAGACAGAGAAGGAAATGTAACTGAACAGAATATCTCTCACCACCATGTGTCTATAAATCAATTAAATATGACAAACTGTCTTTTATTAAGTACATTTGCTAAAGTACTGTACTTAAATACACTTTTGAGGCACTTGTACTTAACATGAGTATTTCCATTTTCTGCTGCTACTATACTTTCACTACAATCCAGAGGCAACTATTGTGCTTTTTAGTCCACTACATTTGTTTGGTTGAGGTACTTTGCAGATTGTGATTAATGATACAAAATATAATGAAAAACTATATTATGAAGTAACATTATAGGTTCAGATAAAATGATCCCCTGGGTTTAATTAATTTAGTAGAAAATAAAGTATTCAAATTGGGCTGCACCTTTACCAGCTGCGACATCAAGGTGATGTACACATTAATCCATCAATATTTATAATCCAGTAATAGATATCATTCTGAAATTAACCATTTTTTTAAATTCTTTTAATTGTGGTACTTCAATGATTGTATTTCAATGATAATACTTTTGCATTTTTAGCTAAGTATAATTTTGATTGCATGACATTTACTTGAGTATTTCTGCTTTGGTTTCACTACTTTTACTTAAATAATAGATCTGGGTACTTCCTCCACTATTGCATTAGACATAGTATAATATATTACACATAATTATATATAGCAAATTATGGATTTAAGAAGAGAACAGGAACATTTTGCATTGTTTTGTTAGAGCGGTCATGTCTGTATCGACGGCACCATCAGGTGGCTGAAATATGTCAAGACAGTAAAAGTGAATCTAACAATTCCTGCCTTGAGTACATGAACATTGTACACACGTTGACCGAACACTGCACGTCTCTCTCAGGTGGCCGATTCTGTCAGCGTGCTTCCTGAATCAGCCAGATGGAAGTTGGACCCTGAGCACATGCTTGGCATCACTGGTATTGTGGGCGCAGTTCTCAACCTGCTGGTGGTGGTGTTAGTGTATATCTACTCACCTGTCTGACACACTGACTGTGTGGGTTTATGGGGAAGCTGTTGGATGGGATGGAAGGACAACCAGAGAGAAGGGACAGGAAGTTTTGAATACAGGAGATTGTTTTACATATAAGACCGGCCTGTCATATCAGCTTATATATTCTTAGGATCATTTATTGGCATTCAGTCTGATACGCTGTAGTTGTGTTTGTAAATGTGAAAAGGTTTCCTCAAAGCCAAAGCCCTTTTCCATGAAGTGAGACGCTTAGCCAACCCTGGGCCGATTGTATGTTGACTGTAAGTTAACTTAGTTTTGTAAATTGTGTCTTCAATATGTATGCAGTGTTTGTATGTGTACTTTTCTGCTTGTCTAATAGTATTGTTTTTGAAAATAAACTATATTCATAAACTGAAAGTGAGAGACAATTCTTCAGGACTGTTTCAATAATCTCAACCTTTTCTTTCATTCAATGCCACATCAATGAACCATCAGCAGCAGCTGTGGGCTCTCGCTTTTTGATACCAGACGACACATTTAAGAACGATTTAACAGCATTCAAGTTTCCAAAAAAATATATTTATATTAGTGAGTCACATTTATGTTACAATTTTAACACACAAGGGAAACAAATTATTATAGTGCCAGAGCAAGTCTTCCTCCTTGACCTATCAGATTTACAAAGATCCAATAGAAAAGAAAATGTTTATTATGAATATTCCTATGTTAAATGTTATTCAGTTAGCCTGAAAGACGGCTGTGGAACATAGGAAGAGAGAACATCACCTGACAGACAAATCAATCTAAAGTGTGACTGTAGATTTAATATACAATTATTCATACATTATTTATATATTTAAGGTACAGGAGTAGTATGATTATTTAGATTATTGATGTTGATATCGGGCAGTATTTGACAGCTGGTGATGATGTCAATCTTTTCAGACACAGCCTTCAAGTCATCCAGGATTAATCTGATGCTGTGGGACGCATTGATGATGGCGCTCTGCGAAGTATTTAGCTGAGCTGTTGCACTTTGAACCTTTCACAAAAACAATCAGAAAAAAAACCCTCGAATTAAGGCATTTCCAACCACAGCCAATTCTCTGTTACAAGATGCGTATCATAGAATCTCTGATGTAGTATAAGTAGCATCCAACACATCTACGTACCTCTCTACTGGCGCTGCCATAAACCTGCCGTACCGTCTGTCCCACGTCAGAATACAGCCGACTGTTAGATTCCTGCAGCTTCTGTTGTAACAGCGTGTCACCTGGAAAAATACAATTACATTCTCAAATTGACCCCTGAGTGGTGAGCAGTCTGTCACACTTTAAGTATTACCATTACTTATTCTAATCATGACGTTGCTGTATTGCATTCCTCACCTTGTGGTCTGTGTGTGGGACTTGGCCTGTCTTCCACTATCGACTGTATATCAGGGTGGTCTCTGACTACAATGAGAGGAGGCAGGTCTCTCCGGAGTATCTGGGCGCTGTCCTGGCTCAGAGAGAAGGCTCGCGCGGCCTGCTGCTCCTGCTCCTGCTCCTCCTCCTCACCGTCACTGTCTGTTTCAGACGCCTCCCCGGGAACCTGACAGCATCCAAGACATCACAGCAGAGTGAATAGATTAATGACACATGCGCGCGCGCACGCACGCACGCGCGCGCGCACACACACACACACACACACACACACACACACACACACACGCACATCTCTGTCGCGCTAAAACACGCGAAGACATGCAAGACTACCTTGGCTCCGACTGTGGCAATTTCGGGAGCGGTCATGGAGGTGATGTAGACTTCATCATCAGAGTCCGTCTCCGAGGCCTCGCCCTGCACCACTATCTGGTACCCGCTGGACATGGCTACACACACACAGACATACAAAACGAAACTTCTTTAGCTAACGTTAACGTTACATTAAAACAAATTATAGGAGAAAGGACAAGCTCAGGCACTTCCTGTTGCAAGCTCACTTTGCTCAGTAAAAATACAAGTCAAAGGTATTCTGTAACATAATGCTAAACGTTAAAATATAGAGCCCAAAATGTCAAACCTTCTCTGTTGATTTTAAAAATGCAAATCACATGACCAGCTAGGAAGTGGCTTGTTTTCCAAGAACCAATCCGATGTGAGCTATGGTGTCACGTGATATCTGACCAATCAGACCGCGATTAGAACGCCTGCGCCATATAATCAAGAGTTTGTTTGTAATGAAAATCGGCGTACACCGAAATTGAACATGTTTTTTTGTAATGGTTTCAGGCAGTGTCTATGGTACCAGCCCTCCACATGACAGCATGTGGATGTGGTTTATTACTGGGTGTATGATTTATTCTTGGTAGAGCATGTATTCCGCCACCACCGGGTTTTTGCACGTTATGACAGAAGGGAAAACTGCTGCTAACTCCGCCTGCGTGAATCCCGAGCGGCAAAGGTTACCCGGTAGATATATCGAGTGCAACCCAGGAAGCTGACTTGTGTTTACTTCGTGTAGCATACAGTCTGTTAACAGGTACAGTACATTTAACAGTTTACTTTGTTTAATGTATTTAGATAACTACACGCTATGCCACATATAACGTTAGATGCATTGCTTTGTCCCAATTCTCTCTCATACCGAGGTATGAAAAACTAGCCCTGGCCAATGCCAGCAAACAACACAAGCTAGCTTTCTAGCGCTAAATATCAAGCTAACGTTAACGTCATTGAAGGTCTTCACATATAACTTTAGCGTTAGCTACCGAAACTGATGATTCTCTCTTTTGAGGCAAAGCTATCTAGGTTAAGTGAAACTGTTTTACTGAAGCGTTATATTGAGCAACATAATCACGGTTGTGTGTTTGGCAGAAATGGCAGACGAGTCTCTGTTTGACTTTCTCCATATGGAGATCGTGTCACATATTTACAAGGAGCAGCAATCCAGTAAAGAAGAGATGGACAACAAGGTGTGTTGAATAAAGGCATTCATCAATCAACTGACTGAGCTTTGAGTTACACTGTGGTCTGTAATCACCTTGCAAAGCACCATCTACCAGCTAACGTTACTTAATACCATGTGTTTCCCTCTCCCAGGCCTCACAATACAGCTAGCTCATCGTTACATTATAATAGTTTAGCTTCTACAGGTCACACTAATATACTAGCTTCTGTCCACTGAGCAAATTGACAGCTTGCATTTCTTCTCTTCAGGACAGGGCTGTCTGTGTCTCTGTCCTTGAAAGCATGGGCTTCAGGGTAGGACAAGGACTCATTGAGAGGTAGACGAGCACACATGTACTGTATCTACATGCTTTGTGACATGCATCCTCTTCACTTTACTCTACATGTCTTTATGTTTGCTTTGTCTAGGTTGACCAGGGACTCTCCCAGCTTCAAAGATGAGTTGGATGTAATGAAGTTTGTCTGTAAAGACTTCTGGACGAAGGTGTTCAGGAGGCAGGTTGACAACCTCAGAACAAACCATCAGGTAAAGTAAAAGTTCAGAGTAGTCTTTCCACCAACACGAAGTTTAATCCCTCTTCTGACATTTTGACTTTCTTTGTGATAGATATCACATGTCATAATGTCAAAGAAGTGCTTAGAATTACTTTAGCAACTTAATTGAGTTTGATTGAAGATTGATTACTTAAAGCCCTCTGAATTATAGGAGTATATATATTATACAGAAGCATATTCATTGTTTGTAACTAGTGTTGTTACTAAACATGCATTTATTTCCTGCCATAGGGTACGTATGTCCTGCAGGACAACAAGTTTTCTCTGCTGACTCAGCTCTCCAATGGAAAACAGTACCTTGATCAGGCTCCTAAGGTTTGTATTCTCTCTCTCTCTCTCTCTAACTCACACACACACACACACACACACACACACACACACACACACACACAC